GTGAAAAAAAAAATAATAATGATAATAATAATTTATTAAAAAAAAAATAAAAAATGGGTCCCCCGGGGGAGGGTAAAAAAAAAAAATTATTGTTAAATATTTGTTTATGATTTTTTTTTTTGTTTCAACGACTGGAGTTCTGGAACGATTTCATTAAAATTTCTGGAAAGTAAATAAAAATTTTTTTTTTTTTTGATTCCAGGATTTTTTAAGGGTTTAAATGTTTTTTAAAAAGTTTTTTGGGGTTTATCGTAGTCTCAAAGAATAGTCGAATTCGAAATGTTTATATAGTTGTCGTTTGAAAAAAATGACGTCACAAAATTTAAATATTCCGATTGGTCGAAACTGTAACTAGTTCTGAATGGAATCATTTCCGGAAGTACTGAAAACCGTAAAGACCTTTGCTGTTTTCTTTGCGATGTTTTCTGAAGAGAAATAATGAAAAAAATTTGTTTTTGTTGAAAGTTTCCCGATTTTTTTTCGTTTTCATTTGATTAATAAAATCCGAAAGGTTTTGCGGGATCCGCTTTTCCGATTATCACTTCCGTTATAGACACAAAACATCCTGTTTGTCTACTCCGATCGGCTTAACACCTTTGGGAACAATCGGAAGAAAACCCACCGAATTTTCCTAATCGGTGATTGGCGGATTCGATTTTCTTCTTACACTTTAAAAATTACATAATAAAAAAGCTACTGAACTACTCGATTATCATCATTTCCGTTTCGATTTTTTACTTCCGTTTTTCTTTTTTTTAAAAAAAAATCAAAAGCGTTTCGAAATTTTTCGAAATGTTTTCTAAGCATTATTATTATCATTATCGTAAAATTTTCTCAACTGTAAACAAACCGGAAATAATTTATTTTTTTACTTTTAATTTTATTACTTTCGTCTTTCGCACGGCCACCCTTTCGTAACCCAATCCATTATTATTATTATTATTATTTTTATAAATAATGCTAATAATAATAATAATAAATATTATTAATAAATAATGCTAACAATAATAATATTATAATAATAATATAATTTTTATAAATAATGCTAATAATAATAATAATAATAATAATAATTTATATAAAAAACAACTTTTAAAAGAATTTTTTATACGGCATATACGTTTACGACTTTTTAAAAAAAAAAAAAAAATTATGGGCGAATCGGTTTTAAAATAAAAACAAAAAGAAAAAAAAATTCTAGAACATTCTATATGTAGAGGGAGAGAGAGATCTTCCATCGAAAGTAAATAAATAAATAAGTTTTTTTTTTTATTTACATAAGTATCTATTTCAAATTTTGATATGAAAAAATAAAAAATACACGACGTTTTTTAAAATATTTTTTTCATTTCATTTTCATTTTCATTTTTTTTCTCGTAAAATTAAAATGAATTTTATCATTATTATTATCATCATCATCATCATCTTCATTATTATTATTATTATTATTATTATTATTATTATTATTAAATTATTCCGCGTATGCAAAAAAAGAAAAAAAAGAAAAAAAAAATTTTTTTTTTTTTAAGGGATTGTGAGAGCGTTTTTTTTTCTTTTTTCCTGTGACGTCATATGGCATAACAAAATTTATACACGCGTAATAATAATAATAATAATAATAATAATAATAATAATAATAATAATAATGATATTTTTGTCGTCGCCATGTTTTTTTTTTTAATATATAAATTTTATTTTCAGTTTTTTTTTTTTTTTAGTAAAAATTCTTTTAGAAAAAACAATTTTTGTTTTTTTTTTATTACGTACTTTTCGACGAAAAGGTAATAATAATAATAATACTAATATTGATGATGATGATGATAATAATAATAATAATAATAATAATAATAAAATTTTCGATACGGAGTAATATTTATTTATTTACTTAAAAAAAAAAAAATTTTTTTATTTTTTATTTTCCTATTTTGTGTCTCCCCCCTCCAATTTGAATGTTGCTGATGTAAAGAATTTTTTGTTGCTGTTGCTGCTGTTACTGCTGATCCTCCTGTTGTTGTTGTTGTTAACTTGATTTGATTTAATGAGGGGAAAAAAAAAAAACAAATTCAAACTGATGAAGTTTCACGGAATCGTGTTTAATGACATTAAAAAAAAAAAAAAAATTATTATTATTATTATTATTATTATTATTATTATTATTATTATTATTATTATTATTACTATTATTATTATCATCATCATCATCATCATCATCATCATCATCATCATCATTATTATAATTAATTTTTTATTTACGAAAAAAAATAAAAAAAAAAATTTTTTTTTTTGTCAACGTTGTTTTCCCTTGTTAAATAATAATTTTCCTTTTTTTCCTTTTTTTTTTTTTAATTTAATTTTTATTAAAAAAAAAAAAAACCCGAGTCATTATTATTATTATCATTATCATCATCATTATTAATATTATTCATCGTTACTTAAACAAAATTGGATTTTGTAATTAGTCGTCGACAATAACAATAATAATAATAATGATAATGATGATGATGATAATAATTTTGACAAAAAAAATAAAAATAAAAATTTGTTTGGAATAATAATAATAATAGTAATATTGGAGTTTTCTGCTGTTGTTGTTGCGAGGAAAGAATTCTTACTTACTACTGCCACGACACGTTGTTTCATTAACTATTTAACGTCTCATTAAGTTTTTATTATTAGATTTTTTTTTTACTCGTGAGTTTGTTTTGTTATATAAAAAAAAAAACATTAAAAAAACATCGTCGCCATCTTTTTTTTTCCTTTTTTTTTCTTATTTTTCCTTTTTTTGTCGGCTTCTTTATAAAAATCTTAAACGATTTTTTATTTATTAACTTCTTTATTTATTTATTTATTAAAAAAATCATTTACGTTATTCGTGATATAAATAAATAAATAAATAAAAAATTATTTATAATAATAATAATAATAATCGTTTGTAGGAGCTAATGGGGGGGCGAGAAATGAAAAACAAAAAAAAATTTGAATGTTGAACGCATGCCATGATAAATGCCACGGGGTTTATTTATTTATTTATTTATTAATCCATTTATATATTTTTTTTATTTAATTAATAAGTTTATTTATAAATAAAACAAAAACGAAAAAAAAATTTTCCGAAAAAAAAACGAATATTATTATTTAAAAAAAAAAAAAAAAATTTTCTTTTATTATTATTATTAAAATTTTGTTTGTTTGTTTTAGTAGTATTGGAATCAAATGGAATATCAACTAGGATATCATTTTACGATCCGGAATTCGTCGGTCCCATTGGAAATTTAACGACTCCCATTGGAAGAGAAGCCGTACTTTCATGTCGTGTAAAACACTTGGGTAATTATAAGGTAAACCATTATACTTTTATTATTATTATTATTATTATTATTATTATTCTTTTTTTCTTTTGCTGTTGATTTTACGAAAGCTCTTTTTTTATAGTGATTGACGTCACAAAATTTCATAATAATGATAATTTTCACTTGAGAAAAAGAGATTAAGAGAGTGATAGATTTTTTTTATCAATTTATTATTTAACGTATTTAATTATTTATTTATTTATTTATTTATTATTATTATTATTTATTTATTTTTTTTTTTATTAACATTTTATTCGGAAATAATATTTTTGAAAAAATCGTTTTATTAAATTTTTTTTTTTTAACAACATCGAATAACGTGGAAATAGAAGAAAAAAAAAAGACAAAGAAAAAAAATTTTTTTTTTTAAATGTAATTTAAAAGGAAAAATCACACAACCGGCTTCGTACTCGGTTATTTGAGAGAGTAGGAGGATGGGGGGCGGGGAAAGAGAAAGGAGGAAAACGAGAGAGTAGGGGAAGGGAGTAAAGTTTTAAATCCTCCTTCTCTCCTCCCCTTCTTCCCGCCATCGATTTCGCAAATAACAAAAAGGATGGAATGCGTGCTATTCTCATAAATCTGGTAATGAGAATGGGAAAATTGTTTTGGTTGTTGTTTGTTGTTGTTGTTGTAATTCTAATTTTTTGAACTTTCACATGAAAAATTCTTTATGTTTTAGAGAGAGTTTTATGTTTGAAATAAAGGTTTTCCATATTTGTCCGTTTTAATAATAATAATATTTTTTTTTTATTTTTTATAAATTTAAAAAAAAATTTTTTTTTTTCTTTATTTTCTCCCGGTTTTTCCTGTAGGATTTTTTTGTTTTTGAGCGACGTTAAAAGGGATAACGTAATTAGGAATGTAGTAAAGGAAAAAAAAGTAAAATAATAAAATATATATTTCGTGTTTGTTTTTTTTTTATCCGATGGGAGTGAGAAAAGACAAAACAAAACATAAAGAAAAGCAAAGTGATAAAAAGAACATGAAATAAAACAGAGAGAGACTGAAAAGGGATATTAAAAATATGAGAGAGAGAGGAGGGTTATAAAACAAACAAGTGAGAGAGAGAGACAGAGAACGTTCCGATATCCTACATAAAATGTCCG